AATATTATTATATGAAATTTTATTTAAATATTTTAAATATTAAAAAAAATAAATCATAACTAAATTTATGCTATTTTAAGCTAAAATTGTTATACAAACTCTACAGCTTAAGGGATAATAAAATGCCAACCAAAGAGGTCATCTTAAAAAAAAAAAAAAAAAAAATTTATTTGCAATAACTTCAACTTGCCCAACAATAAAAACAAGAGATTTTTAAGGATGAACACTACTTCTCAGATGAGCAAATCATAGATTCGAGTAAAGAAAAATGACTTTAACAACAAAATTATATTTCTAACCACTAATATAATCACTTATTATCACACAAAAAATAGCATCTTCATTATTGTCAAGCACCTTTGGTAATTTTTGTGAAACTCTAACAAGAGAACTTTTCAAAGGACACTTATTCAATCTAGCAACTTTATTCAAAATCACAACATCAGTCGAAATAGATACAATTATCTAAAAACAAAAAAAAATTAATATGTAAAATATCATGAATCAACCATTATAAATTAATACCTTTGGTCTCTTATTCCCTTTGTAATACCTGCATAAGGTTTTTCCACCAACAGAACTATTTCTCTCAAAAATTGCTTGTGTTTCAGGATATTTCTCACTTAAATCAAGCAGTAGAAACAAAACCATCTTCAAATTATTGTCTTTATGCTCCACTAATAAGAACCAATAGCCCATACTATTAATAAGTTATCTTCTTCCTTAGTTGTCTTACGAACAAATTTAATTTTCACAATTATATCTGCATAACACGGCATACTTTAACAATAATAGAATATACAAATTGTATATATATGTAAAAATACTATATTAAATAAAAAATGAACAAATACAACCAAAAGTAGTCAAAAATGCACACTTTTTATATAAAATTATCAACCAAAAAATTGCAAAATATTAAATGAAATGCCAACAATAACTTCACAAATTTAATATAATTAAAAAAATATCAGAACATCAAAAAAACCTACCCAAAAATATCTTAAAATAAAATACTATATACAAACTCTAATTTTATATAACAAACCAAAATAAACACTAAACCTTCAAAGAACAAAAATAAAAATATATTAATTTTCTACGTATACACTATATACATCAAATTATCATCAAATAAATTAACTAACTATAATAGTACTAGAAAATTACAAATGTCTAATATAAATAACAATATATACATTATCATAAAATAAATCTTCACTATATGAAAAATACAAACCAAAAAAATATTGATGCAGATATAATATCATCAAATTAAAAATAATAAGCACTATATCTAACAAAATCAAATACACGCCAACTGAACTAATTTCTTTTTATATTATCACAAAATAAATCTTTGTAACATAAAAAACACAAACCAAAAAAAACATTATACAAATATAGTATCATCAAATTTCAAATAACCAACTTTATGCCTAACATAATCAAATATACACCCAACTGAACTAATTTTTTTTAATATACAAACACTAACTATATACATGAAAAAATCAAACCCAAATACTCTACAAAAAAATATAACCTAAACCAATTACAATAACAAATCTATAACAATTTAAACAAAATATATTAAACATTAATTCACCAATTCAAAAATAATAAACAATATTAAATAACAATATGAGACTATAAATTTATTACTAATAAATTACCACAATTGCACCCAGTAAAAATACAAACTCAAATTCTAAACAAAAAATAAACATACTTTTTATAAATATATAAAATCTTATTTAACTTTAAAAACCTGTCAACCAAATATACACTTAAAAAAATTCTACTATAATACACAACCACAAACATATTAAAACCACAAAAATTTTTTATAACTTCAACACATATATTAATAATAATAATCAAATACATATAACAACCTTTAAAATAATTAAATTAATCTAACAATAAATTTTTAAATCTCCCTATATAATATACATATAAGTTGAATAACCACATATTTACTGCTATAACACAAAAAAAAACAAATAAAAAAATCTAGATCTAGCCTTAGCAGATTAACTATAGAAAAAAACTAAAAAACATAAAACTAATATCTAAAATATATATATAAGAATTCCCAAAATTCAATATCACAAACACTCCTATATATAAAATAATAATACTACTAAAAAAGATGGATAGTGCAAATACACCACCCATCATACTAGTAAGCTACTATTTTTAGGCCAAAAATTATATAAAAATTCTCAAGATAGCTTATTTTGAGAACAAATTGATTTTTAGTTATTTTTATTAAGTAAAAGTAGTTTTTATATATAAAAGTCAAAATTATACTAAGTGAATATATGTTTTGCACTTAATGAAAATTGTTTATAATAAAGGACTTAATTAGATATTGCATGCTGCGATGTGCTTATACATTGCCTTTTAATAATTAACTAATTAAATTTGAAGATCAGATATAATATGCAAATTAATTTTGTATAACAAAAATAAAGAAAATTTTAAAATTTTGAAATAGCTCAAAATGCTATCTATGAAACTGCCTTTTGAGCTTTAACAAAAAAAATTCTCTGCAAAATTTTGGTATATATTACACTTTACTCTAACCACTAATTACTAACTATTTTGTAATAATTTTATATCTACAAATATAAATCTTTAAACTATAAAAATATTTGTTTGTTATATTGTAAGCAAGCAAATATTTTTATAGTTTAAAAGTTTATATTTGTAGATATAAAATTATTACAAAGAGATAACTTTTCCTGCAAATCTCTAACACAAAATTTATTTAAATTTGTCCAATACAAAACATCTATTTATGCAATCTTTACTATACAAACCTAATTTTACTTTCTAAGTAAACTTGTCCAGCATACAAAAATACACATAATACTCAAATTTCAAGTCTTTAGCTCTTATATTTATAGAGTAAAGTCTAAAATATTTTTTAAGCAAAAAATTCAAACTTTTGTCTTTACTCTTTAATCTGATTCTAAATCTTTGTATTACATCTATTAAACGTTGTTCTACACACTTTTCTCATCATAACAAGCTATATTTCATCTTTGTAGCTTTAAAATTGACGAAGCTAGCCTTTAAGAGAAAAAATTCAAACTTTTGCTATTTACTCTATAATCTGATTCTAAACCTCTGTACACATCTATTAAAAGTTGTTCTATACACCTTTCTGATCATAACAAGCTTCTTCATATCTTAAATTCCTTTTCTTTTTTATTATCTTACTTTTCTCTTTTATGATACTATTTATTTTATTTTTATCTTTCTTTTTCTTTTTAAACTTCTCTTTTCTCAATTCTTTTTTTTTTTGCTTTTCTAAACTTTCTTTTAAATCTAAATTGCTTAACTCATTTAATCTTTACAAAACTATTACTATTACTATTTTCTTTTTCTTTTCTCCTTTTTATTTTCATTTAAATTCTTTTAAAAATACTATACTTATTTATATTACAAAGAATCTACATCTTATATATCCTATAGTACTTCTATAAAACTTTATACTTATTTAGGACTTACCTAGATTTGTATAAAGTTTTCAAATCTAGGTGAGTCTTGGCCACTTTAGTAAGTTTAGGTTGCAGATAAATTAGTCTGAGATCTTATTTATTTGTTATTATACAAGTTAAGTTTTTTATATTATTTTATTATGTAATTGCTTGTATAAATTATTCAATAAAGATACAAGCAAGGCCTTATCTAAATATTAAAAAAAAATTAATAAATAAAATTACTACAAAATATTTATACAAAACTAAAATGCCCCTAAGCCTTGTTTTGCTATGGAGCTCCCCATATTCTGAAAATTTTATACAATTTAGAAAACTTTTTATTAGTATATCTTTGAATATAAAGTTTAAACTTAAAATGCAAAAATATATTAATAAAAGTTGTTCAAATTGTATGAAATTTTTAGAATATATATATTTTTATATTCTAAACAACTTTTATTAAGTACAAAATATATATTTTACTTAGTACAATATATAGCAACTATTAAAAATTTTTAAAAATTTGGGGTAGATTATTTTGGAGTAAAAGAGATTTTTAAATTTTTTGCTTAAAAGAGAATGTGTAGCTTATTTTTGATAGTAGCTTATTTTTAGAAAAATATAGTAACAGTATCAATTAAATTAAAATAATCAAAAAGTATTACACATATATGATAATTTTTTTTAATACATCTAGCTATTAGTATTAGATATTAAACTTAATAGCATGCTAAATTACTACCTAGTATGATGCAAAGATGGTAAATGACTATCTAATATTTGTAAATTGTTATAAAATCAAAGAGATCTTATAAAAATTAATTATACTAGTTAAACCAACATATTAATATTTAATCTATTTATGTAGGTATAAAAAGAGATGCTTGTTAAACCAATATCTAAATATACTAACAATTTTTTATTGTTAAGAAGTGTCTGTATAGCCAGAGTGACATGTATTGATTTTATATCTGTATGATAAATAAATATTGTATATTTGTATGATATTTATATATATATTAATATAATAATTTATTGGGTTAGGGTCACATAGCCTAGTGGTCTAGGCACCTAACCCTCCACAGATGAGATCGACGGTTCAATTACAGCTGGTTGTAATTAATTAAATTAATTATCTCTGTAACTTGCAGGGGCTTTTGAATGCGAAACCCTGTGGTGATAAGACCATGTGAAGTATATATTTGGCCGATAAAGAATTCTTGGAAGGAGTCTGAGCTATGGAGAAGATCAGGCACTATGTGTGACATGGGTTACAGAAGGTATTACTGCAGAAGGCTGTGCATGTAAATCCATGATTGGCAAGATAGCACCAACAACTCTAAGGCGGCATTGGGATCTTGATTAGGAGGATGGTTGTATGCAGTATTTTCAGAAGTAGTGAGAGAAGCGGTGAACATAGTAAGGGGCTGTGGTAAGAGAATGGCTTTACCAAATATAGAACACCTCTGGTGCAATGAAGAAACAAAGAAAACTGATTAAAAGAAACTCCGAAAAGCATAGAAGCAAGTACCCTGGTGGTACAAACATAAAGACGGCTAGTGAGTATAGTCGCACAACCTATATGGGAGTCTATAACAAAACACAGCAGAAGCGCGGGTCCTGAGTTACTGCTTTGTGGCAGTAATTAAATGAGGTTCTTAACTCCCGTTCTAAGGATCTAGACTTCTGTATTACCATACCGATAGAGAGTACTAAAAAAGGGATAGTAGCCTAATTAAGAGATGTATGATGTTAATACCTAGACCCATATGAACAGCTCTCCTAATAGTGGCAGCAGGTGGCTTGAGATATGAGTCTTCGAATAGCAGCAGCACCTGGCTTGAGATATGAATTAGGTTCTGAAGTAACATACTCGAGAAATACCAAACTGGAAGCAAGAAGAGCACCCACTCCTAGGACACCAATTTGGAAGTTATACAAAATATGAATTAGGAGTAATGTGATAAGTAATGAGGGTAGATTATAACTGGTGGATGTTGTATAGTAGTATATATAGTAGGATGTATATGAATTAAATAGGTGAGCACAGCCTACTGTTGATCCGGAGAAAAACCTCCTAGTAAGTTAGGGGCCAAAGGGAAAGTAAATCTGTGGCTAGATGGTTATACTTGGGCACCTTAGGGCAGCTGAGTGAGCTTTGTTACAGAGTCGGTGAGAGGTATAGTTTCTAGAAGTTTCTGTACT